GCTTCCATTCAAGTTCCCCCAACTACTTCATCTCTGAGTAACTCGATGCAGTTCGATCAACTTTAGTGTTTAAAGGTGAGTAAGCGATGTCTTTTTTTAGAAGCTTTGGCAAAACTGTTTTGTAGGGTCTCCTCAACATCCATCCCCCGTTCAACTGTCTTACGTAATTGGTGGTTTAACATTTACTTCTTGGTTAACGCGTGTAAGTGAGTATGTAATTGTAGTGAAAGTGATGAAAAATATTAACTTCTACTTCTCAATTACTTCCTGGGACTCGCATGTTTGCTTGTATTGGTGACTTAGAGCCACTTATAGCTGTTTCAATGAGTTAAATATAATCAACTCCCTCAACCTAATCTCCTGTTGCCCAGACAACTGACGCCCTTATATTGGCGGAATTTAACGAAGAAAAGGGGAAGCCGGGCCACTGAAATTTTCAAAGTAGGTTATTGTTATGAGTCAAAGGCATATAGGACCTCTAAAGATAGTACTACCAAAGCTTCATTTTACCTGGAATACAGCAGATTGTCTATCTAATGAAACGTAAGTCAAAATCCTGAAATGTATTTCTTGGAATCGAACAAATGGCCTAATTAGGGTTATAAACCATCAATTATCGTACAGCCTTATAGGTCAGTGACGACAGGCTACCGGCTTATGCACGAGCTTCTTTCTGACCGCTGGCAAAAGCATACTCTATAACGAATGCCTATGCTGTTTCCTCATTGATTTGCGATGCCCTTATAAAGTCAATATATTTTCTCTAAGACATGCTCAAAAAGATTCCGTCTTTTACTCCTGTTGTGAAAGGTTATTTCTTCTTTTTCTTCAAAATCTTTAATTGAAAGGGCGGTATCTGTCGGCTTTTAGGAAACTGAATTGTCGGATGATTCCGAATCCTACCTGCTGTATAGTTTCTGTCTAAGGTGTTGTAGGGGGGGAGGGGGCACTTTGTGGTATCACCGTCGAATTAAGCGTCCCCAAAGAAGAACACAATAAGAAGGGCGTAACTTTGGAATCCACCCAGACATTATTTTATTGTGTACAAAACCCGGAGTTGCTTTCTCGGGTGGGTGTTGCCGCTGGTTGATCTCAGCGCGCTGTTGTCCCGTCTCGCGACTAAGCCCAGCAATCAGGAGAGGACTGGCGGTGTCCTCGCAGTCCGTGTGCAACTAACTGTCTGAGCTGTGACAGTGGCATGTAACTTATTGTCAAGCGCGTTTGCTTGTGGCATCATTGGGCGCTTCGGAATAAGGTCACCTGCCGTGGCGAACTTAAGTGGTCCTTGAGGAACTGCGACCAATTGGCACGCGTGTAGGCACGCGTGTAGGCTCGCGTGCGTCTGTGTCCTCTCCAGAGGTTTAGGTCATCGCGTGGGCACGATCACCGGGAAGCCATATGACCTTGAAGGCAGTTCGCATTGACAAAGGAATCATTGTGGCAGGCACGGCACCTCGGGAGAGCCTGCAATGTTGCCAGCATCTGGTCAGGCTAGACTCCTAACATAAGGAAAACCACACGCTTCTCTACGCTATAAAAAGGAGGTCACATAGACCTCTCATAAAACTTTGCACTGGATGTGGATCCTTATGCATTCCTTAAAGGTAAAATCTATAAATTAACAGACACTATATATGTTTTGCATTAGCATATCACGACATTGAAAATTTTCATAATTGGAAGCTTTTTAAAACCAAAATACATACCTTGTTCAAGTATAAAAGTTGAAGACCGCGTACTTTGCTACCAAAAGAGTTTAAGAAGGCGTATTTTCGTACCTGTTTTTGTGTAAAATATGCTTTAAGGGGATCGAAAACTGTTGGGAATGCGCCCATTCCCTCGATTCTTCATCTTACAGAAAGGCCTGCTAGTGCAACTTACGCCGCTGTCATGAGAGCGCAACGTGACCGTCAATTATTCCCCATAGCTCAGGGGTCGGCAACCTTTTGAACTTAGAGATCCAATGAAGCAAATATTTGGAAATATATTTCAGAAAGAGCCGTAGAGTATATTTTAAAATGAAATTCCATTAAATGCGAGTATAATAAGCCCCTGAATTTATTCTTTTAAATAATGTTCTTATAATACTC